AAAAAAAAAGCCATTTTATAAACTTTGTATATATATATATAGGTCATAACTCATAAGAGTACAAAAATTTAATAAATATAATGTAATGCTGTTTATCTAAATACTTTAATGGCATGTTAGGTTTTAACTGAATTAGTCAATTATGATATTTAATGCAATTACCCTTAGCAAACATAATTCTTTTCAAAAATCCCATGAGGATAGATTAAAAAAAAACCTTTGGTGGAACTTTTTAAATTTTTTGGTTGAATTTCATTGGGTTGGTTTTATGGAAACTTTGATAAAAATAAATACAAAACATAATCAAGTCAAATGTTATACAATATTAAAAATAAAATAAATAAAAACTATATACTCGAGATATATGAAACTCAAACGTCGATCCCTCTCAAACGTTGAGTAATTATGTAAAAGAAATAAAGAATGGCATAAACTATCAAATAAAGAATGACTCATGATCGCATGAGTTTTACGTATTCAAGAACAAAATCATCTTGAAACAACTTTACGTATTCATAAATTTGAAAACAAACTCTTAACTTTTTGATAAGTGATGTTGAGAATAATTACATAAATGGTTTTTCAATTTATATCATAAATATTTTAACAAACTTATGGTTTTCAAATTTATGAATACATATAGATCATAAGAGTAAAAAATTTAATAAATATAATGTAATGCCATTTATCTAAATACTTAAATTTATAATTACACTTTAACTGACCATAATAATAGATATAAATTTTCTCAATGTATGTATATAAATCTTATTGGTGAGTTGAAAAATAGAGAAACAATTAAAAATAGAAATTTTAAAAAAATCGAACACTTTTATGTAGAACTAATGGTGTTGGTGAACCTAACTTGAACACCATATGAAATCACAAACATAACTTGAACACCAAATGAGAAAACTTTTGTAGATATTTTTACTATGTGGACGATAGCCTGAAATAAAGAGAAAGCAACTAAAAGTCAATAAAAAATAAAAGAATGGACTGGAAAAAGCAAAAACTCTACAATAGTTTTTTTAGCTTCACATGTGGGTAATATATAGAAGTAGATTAATTGGAGTCAATATTTAGAGTATTAATTTACACTCTAAAATTAATTAGATTTAATGTTTTGAATTAATTGGAGTTATTGTGGTTATCTGTTAGCCTAATGCATCAATTTAGAGTTATTTGACGTTACATATGTTTTAATAAATTCATTTGTGGGTTTTACTTTGGGTAACTAATTCCAGAACAAAAATTAAAACACTAATATATTTCGGTATTAGAAGCCACATGAAAAGCGTTACTGGAGAAGAAAACTCGTCGCAAATATTTATTTTGAGAGAAGGCGTAACACATGGAGCTATACATTAATATAATGCACGTTACTATATTTCTTTATTAAAATTACATTAACTGTTACATAAGTTAGAATTTCATTTACTGAGACATTTATAAAACAATATACTGTAAAACCTCTATAAATTAATAATGTTGGGACCAACTCGGAACAAAATTATTATCTTATTAATTTATCGATTTATGTCATATTTTACACTGGTCCTAACTCGGAACCTAAAGAATTTATTAATTTAGAGAGGTTATTAATGTATAGAGTATTAATTTATAGAGGTTTTAAATAATTTAATAATAAATTAATAATATATTAATAATTCCTGTAAATTTTATTATACTATATAAATACATTAAATGTATTGTGTAATAAAAATTGTAAATAAATACTCCAACTTGGAGTTGTAACAGGTGAGAATAAATTGGTGTTATAAATGTTTTTTATAAAAAAGTTTTTTTTTTTTTTTTTGTCATCCGCAATTAATTAAAAACTCAAAAGAGCCATTCCTGAGGAATGTTGTTTACATAGGTGATATGAAGCGGTTCTGTACGAACATTTCGTGCCAGATTATCCGCCTTAACATTAGCCCTACGAGAAATTAAAGATAAAGAAAAAGATGAAAACTCCTCCTTGTCGCTCTGAAATTCCTCCAAATACGCTGAAAACGCCGGCCATTCAGTTGGAAAAGACACCATCTTCACCAGGTCTGAACAGTCTGTAAAGAACGCTACCTCTTGATTATCTGCACCAATCATACACTTCATCGCCCAGAGAAGGGCCTCGACTTCGGCATGTAGTGGAGATAGACTTCTACGGAGGTTCGCAGCTCCCATGGTTGGCGGCTCTCCATTTGACGATGTACAGAACCAGCATGTACCGGAGAACTTATCACTTTCTTTCCATGATCCATCCACAAAACAACTGTATCCCGAATACTCCGCCTCAAGTGAAATATCCCTTACTCGATCTTGATTTACCAAGTCCACAGAACCATGATTTTCATTATGGAGCTCAATTTGAGCTGACTGCCACAATTGTGCCTCTTTTTCCGCTAATCGTAATACTTCTGCTGGGTCTGTATCTATGTTTTCAAAGAGCTTTTCGTTCCTTGCTTTCCAAATATACCAAATAATCCATGGAAAGGCTGATGAATCAAATTCCGTAGGTATTCTCCAAAATAAGTGATCTAAATTCGTAAAATTAGATTCCGTGGGGAAAATCCCCATAGTCGTAGGGATCTGTGAAAGTGCCCAAATCTGTCGTGCCGGGTGGCACTGAAAGAGTGTATGATTGATCGTTTCCTCTGATGCGCCACATCTGGCACATCCCGTGTCATAATCAATTCCTCTTTTCCGTAAATTTTCCGTAACCGGTACACATCCCGTTAAGATTTGCCATATGAAATGGCGTATCTTAGGTGGACACTGCACTTGCCAAGAATATGCTTTTAACGGGTTGATGTTAGGGCCAAAAAAGTTTAAATTGGTCTCCGACTTCTCCATCCGTGTAGAATGATATCCCGATTTGACTGTATATTTTCCGGATTTTGTAAAATGCCAACCCAAAGAATCTTCTTTTGTTGGCGCACTCACATGTATGGCACTTATTAAAGCGACATCTTCTGGATTAAAGATCGCTTTTAAGAGATCAATATTCCAAAAGTTCGACCGACTATCTATAAGGTCTTTAACTGTTAAAGATGGGTCAGCAACTGAACCATTACTTTTTGCTGGTCTCGGGAATTGAGCTGGAATCCAGGGATCCTCCCACACCGAGATGGATATCCCAGATCCGACTCTTTTAATAAGTCCTTTATTAACCAGAGATCTAGCTGAACATATACTCCGCCATCCATATGATGGAGAATATGATTTTATATTTTCCAAAGGATTGGATTTCCTAAAATACCGTCCTTTAAACACTTTTGCGAATAGAGAATCTGGAACCGTAATCAACCGCCATAATTGTTTTGCTAGTAAAGCTGAATTAAAATCGTCCACATTCCTAAATCCTAACCCCCTTCCGATTTGCTATTACACAATTTGTTCCAAGCCATCCAATGCATACCTCTGGAGTCACCATTTGAGCTCCACCAGAAATTTGCTACCGCGCTAGTAAGTTTAGAAGTGATAGTTTTCGGTAGTCTGAAGCACGACATAACATAAGTTGGTAGTGCTGCAGCTACCGATTTAATCATCACTTCTTTTCCCCCTTTTGATAAAAATTTGGCCGACCATCCGTTAATCCTTGTTTGTAGTCTATCTCTGACAAAAGAGAAAATTTTTGTCTTGGAGCCCCCTAAACTCTCCGGCAATCCGAGATAAGAACCCATACCACCGATATTAGTGATACCTAAAGTAGATTTGATTTCTTCCTTAATATCATCATCTACCTTGTGTCCAAACTGAATCGAAGATTTTAAAAAATTATAAAAAAGTTAGATTGGAAAGAAGAAAAAAAAAGAGACAAATTAGAAAAGATTAGAAATGTATTTTATGGAGATATGAAAATATTATGTAAGATAGAAAAATGAGGAAAACAATTAAATGTAAAAATAGATGCCAAATGTACTAATGTTATGAGATGTTTTAAAAATGTACTAATATTTTGTGAAGTTAAAATTTTACTGATCCATTTTTTTGAATCAGATGAATAAGTGGTGATTAAGTAGATAATAATTTTGGCAAAACAAATTAGATACAAATTTCAATTTAAATACATGTCAAATGTATCAATAGGATAAGAGAAATATCTTTTTTGGAATTAAATTGTAGGTACAAACTTTCAAAACTAAGGATTTTAAATAAATGAAAACAAACATTAATGAAATGAAAGAGGACACATGTCACCAAAAGAGAGTGCCAAATGTCGCAATGGTAGGAAAAGTTAGAAGAAAACCTTCTCATATTATATAAGATATATATATGTACTCAATTCTACCGGTTTGTTAGGTGAATTTCTGTAAGGGTAAATTAATCATAATGTTGAAATCTTTGAATAAATTTTGTTTTTAATAAATAATCTCTTTTTAATAGTTGTAAATCGGACAACATGTTAAATGACTAAAAATTTACTCAAAGTACTTTTTGAAATCTTTGAATAATGTTAGAATCTTTGAATAATTTTTGTTTTTCATTAAAATATATTCAAAGTACTCATTTAGCAAATGACTAAAAAATTACCTATTCTACAAATGATAGTTTTTAAAATAGATGTATTCCTATCAACGTAATTGAATTAGAAAAGGAGAAAAATAATTTTACCTATTCTACAAAGGCAATCAGCCCGTTCAAGTATGTCCCTTAAAGTCTTTTTCTTAAACATATCTTTCACATGAGCTACATCTACATGTTTTGAAATCCACAATAAGGAAAGAAACAAAAAGTGTGTGCCTTCTTTCCAAGACTAAACCATTTACCAAAGAAATGCAAAAGTAGATATCTGTCAAAGTGTTGTTCTTTGGTTCGGTATTGATATCTACTCGCATGACTAAATTGATCATGTGATTAGGCTGGATCCAATATTTCAAAGATCCAAAATATATATTAATTTCAGATAATTCCACCATTACCCCAAAACTCAAAACACAATTTGTTATTATTAGTAATTTAGTACTATATAATATAATCAACCATAGCTTAATTATACCCACTAGAACCTTTAACTCACGACCCGAAATAATGTACCATCTCCTCATCATTGTCACTATACTCTCCTTCTCTTCAATTCTCATCGCCTTCGCCGTCGATGAAGCTTTCCCTTCGGTTCCAACTACCTTCAGCGTCGCAAAGAACCACTCCGACGATCTAAAGCCAATCCGCCGAGAAGTTTATGGCGTAGAAAGGAAGGTATTCGACATCAGCCACCGGTACACGCCAGAGCTGCCAGCTTGGGAGTCTTCAGAAGGATTAGGCAAGTTTATGAGACTTGCCGTGAGCATGAAGAATGGATCCGTCGCTAATATCTCAAAGATGAAACTATCTGTTCACTCTGGAACTCATGTTGATGCTCCAGGCCATTTCCATGAACATTATTATGATTCTGGTTTTGATTCTGATTCACTTGATCTTCAAATCCTTAACGGTAAATTTTTTTGGAACTCTTTTTTTTTTTAAGTAGCTAGTGATCGTTTTTGAAATTGTTTTTTGTGAATTTTATTCTATAGGTCCTGCTTTATTGGTTGATGTTCCAAGAGATAAGAACATTTCAGGTGTGTTGAGAATTTCTAACAATTGAAATTTTTTTTATTGAAATGTTCACAAAATGGTCTTATTTTTTTACAAAATTTGTGTCTAATGTTCTTTTTTTAGCTGAGGTTATGAAATCACTTCATATTCCAAAGGGAATCCGTCGTGTGCTCTTTAAAACTTTGAACACGGATAGGTAAGTTCCAAAATTTAAAGACGGTGTTACCAAAATCTTAATGTGAACTCGTTACAAAGACTTTATAAGAGAGTGAGAACCAAGCTTACTTAATAATCTATATCAGGCGGCTTATGTTTAAGAAAGAATTTGATTCAAGCTTTGTTGGGTTCTTGGTCGATGGGGCGAAATGGTTGGTTGAGAATACAGACATCAAACTTGTTGGTAAGAGATGGAATTTTTTGTTTTGTTAGCTTTTTATGCTTATTATGGTTGTTACGCCATTGTGGTATTACATTTCATCATGAAAACGGTTATTCTGTGTTGTGAAATCCAGGGCTTGATTATCTTTCATTTGCTGCTTATGATGAAGCACCTGCGACGCATAGGTTTATACTTGAACGACGGGTGAGTATATTTTTCACTATAAGAGTATTATAGAATACAAGGAAGAGATTAAGAACACAAAATAAAGAATAACGCTCTTTATTACTTTAGGAAAATCTCTCAAAACCTAAAACATTGCTTTTGTTTCTTGAAAAATATCATTTCATTGCCAATTCTAAAGAAAACCATCTTGTTTTTGGATGTAAAACCGTGGAACGTGAATTAACATAGCTATTTCACTAGACAAGAAAGTGAGAGATATAATTGGTTAGTTAAGTAGGCTTAAAATGAGACGAGGCATGAATGTGAATGAAATACTTCTTAGACATGACTTCAGGATATAATCCCTGTCGAAGCGCTGAAGCTGGATGATGTGGAGGTAGGAATGTACTCGCTTCATTGCTTACCGTTGAGATTGGTTGGAGCGGAAGGAGCACCAACGAGATGCATTCTCATCAAGTGATTCAGTTCATCTTCCTCTCTAAGTATTCAGTATACCAAATCTGATAATAAATATTAGGCTTCTTGCTTCCATCTCAGAACCATATAGAAGATGTTACAAATGTGATGATTCAGTTGTAAAAAGAAGCATACTTTATGAAAGTGTGTATGTATTTATGTGTGTGATAATGGATTGTTTACTAGAGAGTAATTTAAACATGTGGATAGGCTTTTGCTATCCATTGTTGCTGAATTAATAACGAGCAGCAAACCACATAACTACTTGTTGAGGATGATTTATGTAATTAAAGTAAGTTAAGGGTATCACTCACACAATACAACAAACTGGCCCAAAATTGTCTGTTTGTGAAACGATAGTATTCTTCAAGGCCTTTTTATTGAATAAATACATACAAAATAATCATATATATGAAAGTTGGCTAACTCTCTTCATATGAATGACGCATCATCACTTTAGCATTTGCCATGTGTCCACTATATAATTAATTTAAGCTATAATTATTTTTATTTCATAGGTTAATGATACATTTATTATTTAATTGTACATATCATATAATTTTACATATTTATATGTATTAATACTAACTTTAATTTATTATTATATGTAATTTTTTCAATGAACTTTTTTTATTAGTATTTTCGTACTTGAGATTTTTTGCTAATTTTTTGTAATTTTAACTCAAAATATGAGTAAATAGTAGTATAGTGGATTAGCTAATGGTTTGAGTAGGTTATTCTCTTAAATTTTTATCCATATAATATACTGAAAATTACCTAGTTTGACTCAAATTTAGAGAAAAATAACTAGATTAACACCCAAATATTGTGGTTTACTAGAATAACACAAATTTTGTGTTAAAAGACCAAATACCCATTTTATTTTCAGTTCTATTAAAATAAAATAATTAAATTAAATAGAAAATTAAAAAATACAAAAAAAAAATTATAAAACCAAAAAAAAACGAAAATTGAAAAAAAAAAGACGAAAAAAATACAAAATGAAAAAAATATATATATATTGAAAAAAATAAAAAATGAAAAACAAAAAAAAACAACTACCCATTTTATTTTCAATTCAATTAAAATAAAATAATTAACATATAATAACTAAATTAAATAAAAAATTAGGAAAAAAATTACAAAACGACAAAAAAATATAAATGAAAAACAAAATACAGAACAAAAAAAATAAAAACAACTAAAAATATAAAACAAAAAAATAAATTAAAAAACGAAAAAAAATATCTTTATCATATATTAACAAGGAGACAGCCACACTACAAAAAAACTGTACATTCATAGCACCTAATAATAGCACGATTTTCACATTTGCTATCTAAGATGAGTTTGTAATTTGCTTACCATTTGATAGCATTTGATAAACGCTATAATAGAGTTTCAATAAGCGGGAAGTAAAATCACCAAACACTTAGCCAAATTTACTAAAAAGCAAAAACTTTCCCCCTTTTCTAAAAACACTTTGTCGCGACTCTCTTCTTCTCTTAACACTTAGAGAAACGAAACCCTAAACCTTCAAATCTCCAAATCTATCGCTCGGTTAGGTGGACCAGTCCACTTTAGATGGATGTACCCTTTTGAAAGGTATATGAAAGTTCTGAAAGACTTTGTGAGAAATCCTGCAAGACCAGAGGGGTGTATTGCTGAGTGTTATCTAGCTGAAGAATGCGTCCAGTTTTGTAGTGAATTCTTAAAGAAGTCTACAAACTTACAGGAAAAACTAGATAGAAACACTGACTATGAGAATAGTTCTATACTAGAGGGTCGTCCTATATCCGCAGCCACTTCCATAACTCTCTCAGAAATGGATAAGAAAATAGCTCATCTTGCTGTCATCCAAAATATGGCTGTCGTCGAACCTTATATCGAGTAAGTTCTATACAGTTCTTGTTCTATTATTATTTACAGTTTTATGATAAAGTATCTGATTAAGCTTCTTATTATTAATATTGTACAAGTGAGCACCTTCAGCATCTACAAGACACCAATGGAAGATGCCGACGTGATGCATCAGTTTTATGGGCTATGCATTCTGAGAATTTTGCATCTTGGTTAAAACAGCAGGCAAGTTACATCAAATCTACTATTTTCTGTTGTTATTTCATGTTTTTGTGTGTATGTGTCTGATTTGTTATATTTTATTTCTCGTAGATACCAATTGATTCAGACAGACATGGAGAAGTTCTAAAATGGTTGGCTTACGGTCCACGTTATATGGCACGGTCACATACAGGTTACATAGTGAATGGTCAACGGTTTCATACAAGTTCAGTTGATAGGAAAAATCAGAATAGTGGGGTTTTCTATGAGGCAACAGCAGTCTGTAGGGCTAGTGCGAAAGATACTTCACAAGTGGTTGATTTGGTATCTTACTACGGCAGAGTGATAGACATCATACTATTAGATTATAATGTTTTTTATGTTCCTCTCTTCCGGTGTCACTGGAAAGTAATGGGTAATGGAGCTAAGATAGAAGATGGTTTCACACTAGTTAACATGAATCATAGTCAAGTCTCTTTTTTAAAAGATCCATATATATTAGCATCGCAAGCAAAGCAGGTGTTTTACTTAAGGGAAGACGCAGAATCAAGTTGGCATGTTGTTATGCGAGTTCCTTCAAGAAGATATAATAAAGATTTGGATGATGGAATTGCAGACATTGGACCATTACCAGCAAATGTGGACATGGATGTTCACATGGATGAATCTGAAAATGCCCGAACTGATTGTGAAGGCATATTTGTCTGAAATGGAGTCTGTTTGTCATTTACATTGATGTTGTTTTATTTGCTATGTCTGATGACTGCTTGGTAATTATTTTATTTGTAGTTGTGTTTGTTTGGCATTCACATTCTTGTTTTATTTGCTACGTCTGTTGACTGCTTGGTAATTGTTTGATTTGTATTTGTGTTTCCATTTGCTATATATCTGATGACTGCTTGGTAATTGTTTAATTAACCCTATTTTCTTTCATTTATTTCAGGTGAGTTGACATGGGACCAAAGAAAGTAACAAACCGTAGAGGGAGAAAAAAGAAGAAAGATTCTGAAGAGCCAGAATTCTTGGGTACAATAAACCCGCCACAACCTGATCATAACTTACAACACAACCAGCGTCTAGAAGGAGTTCAGCCTTTAGAAGAGCAGGATCAGCATCCTTCAGAAGAGCAGCCTGTAGAAGCTCAGCCTTTAGAAGAGCAGGCTCAGCATCCTTCAGAAGAGCAGCCTGTAGAAGCTCAGCCTTTAGAAGAGCAGACTCAGCATCCTTCAGAAGAGCAGCCTGTAGAAGATCAGCCTGGAGTTAATGATGGGACTGACGAGCACGATCATGTAGCTAAACCTACACGTAAGAGAAAGCGAGGACCAACAAGATTGAGAGACATCGCCAGGAATCCAAATAGCAGATTAAAGGTTAACTTCACTTTCATGGGAGAACATTATGGTCATGGGTCTGTTAAGTTGTCAACGTATCTTGGTATAATTGTGCGAGAACACGTTCCTGTATCAATTGAAAGTTGGCCAAAAGTCCCTCAGGATATGAAGACAATGCTCTGGATGTCTGTCAAGGTAAACTTTTCTGTAATTTGACATTTACTTTTAATCTTTCCAGGATGAAATGTTTTTTTCTTAAAACCTTGATTGATTGCAGTCAAGGTTTGAAGTAGAAGAAGATTACCAAAAGAAAGCATTGATTGAACAGATGGGAAATTTGTGGAGGTCACACAAGTCACGAGTGGTTAGGGAAGTTAATGAAGCTACGACTTTGAAAGATAGGATGGATCTGCGACCTAAGAATGTTACTGAAGCGGCTTGGCGTAAATTTGTCAAGCTCAAAACTAGTCCTGAGTTTAAGGTATTATTTTTTGAAGTAAGTAAGTTTTATGTTTGTTTATGAATAATATGACATATCTATAATCATGTGTTAGGTTGTGAGTGATAGCTATAAGAAAAGGAAGAGCCTACAGATTCCACACACTTGTAGTCGCAAAGGAATGGTTAGACTAGCTGAAGACTTGGTACGCCAAATGCTTTGGATTATTAATTCTCATCAGTTTAACAAGTATTTTGAATGATATATTCTTTTATTTGTTTAGAAAGAAGAGAGACGAGAGAAATCAGATCCTTCTGATGTAACAAGAACTGATGTGTGGGTGAGATCGCGTACTAGAAAGGATGGGACACCAGTGAATACTGATGCAGCTGAAAAAATTGTAAGTTATAAGTTATGTACATCGTGAATTTGGTTTTCAGTATAGATTTAGATTTTTGGAATTGTTTTTGATATGTAACTAAATTTGCAGAAAAAGGCAGCTGAACTTGTTAATTCTGTTGAAACAAATGAAGGGCAAGATACACTTGTCGAACTATTAGGACCTGATAATCCCGGTCGAATGAGGGCAATGGGGAGAAATATGACTAAGACGAAATTAGCTTGTTTCCAAGTTAATCACAAGTGTATGGTTGAAATGGAAAAGAAGCAAATTCATCTCCTGGACAAGGTTAATGAGCTAGAAAATAAACTTGGTAAACTGCAGAACCAGGTAATGCACTTTTGTATTTTTTGTACATTAAGCTGTTGGGTTGTAACATAAATTAAAAGTTAATATTTTTTCTGGCATGTCACAGGGACAAGAAACTGAAGTTGGTGAAAACTCTAGATCTGCTGCAAGGGTAAGTGATTAATAATCCATGAAATTGATTTCTTTATAACTATAAAGTCTGACTTGTTTTTTTCTACTCTAAATCTGCATAGAGTGTTAACAAAAAAGCACAACCAAAGTGTATTTTGATTGACTGGGCTGGTGATGATGCGAATGTTGCTGAGGGACGTATTATATCTACTGATCCAGAGGATGTTGTGAATGGGATTCGTTTAGGTCCTTTAGATTATAAAGTTTTGGTTGAGACTGCCACAGTACCAAAAGCATTCCTTTGGAGAAATGCTATGGGAATGTCAACAATTGAAGAATCTGTTGGGCATATGATTCCATGGCCTGCCACGAAGTGTGTTAGTCTAGAACAGGGGGTTCAGGAAGAAGACATGGCACCACTAGTAAAGTTTCTAACTTGTTCATTAATTAATAAGTTTATACAGATTGTTGATGATTTAAAATTCTGACATTGTTTTATGCGTTTAACAGGGCACAAGAGCCAATTCTTTGAACAAATGCAAACTACTTGATCTGTCTAACGATGATGTAGTTGTTGCTGAAGGCCGTTGGACCACGCAAGATCGTAAAGCTTTGGTGAATGGACTTTCACTCGGACCAAAGGCTGTAAAAGTGTTTGTTGATGTGGTACATGAAGCCAATACATTCATATGGAGGCCTACAATGGATGTTACATACATAGAGGACTGTTTAATGTCCTTTGTAGCATGGCCTTTCAACAAAGTTGTCTTCGAAAATAATCCAGATGGAACAGGCCGGTTATCTCCTATTCAGAATTATGCATCTACTCAAACAGCTCATGGAAAATCAGCATCATCAAGTCAAAAATCCACAGCAACAGGTTCTAAATCGCAACCAGCTCATGGAAGATCAGCATCAGCAAGTAAAAAATCCGCAGCAACAGGTTCTAAGTCGCATATGCAACCAATCTCAGCATCATGTGAGAAGTCTCCAACAACAGTTCCAAAATCTAATGCAGTGGAAACTCAAACAGCTGCACCGTCCCCTCTTCGAAGATCTCCGGTAACTTATTTTATATGTTCTAAAGTTGATTATGGTTCTGTCTCATTTTACTGTAGTAATTGGTTAATATGGTCAACTTGTCAGCGGAAAAAAGGAGCTATACTGGAAAATCAGAAGTGTATGTTACTGGATATTAAAGAAAGGAAGCAGGTTGTTGCTAAAGGACGGGTGATTTCAACTGATCCAGAGAGACGTGTACACTGTGCTCCCTTGGGTCTTAATGCTGCGCAAGTTTTGGTAGATATAGTCCAGGTAGATGATGCAGCGGTTTGGAGGACATCCTATGAGATTGAGTATATGAAAGATGCACTTGGTTCATTTATCGCATGGCCAACTGATAACTTGGTCATGTATTGACTATCGTCCAACTGAGGTAAGTATTGTTTATTTTGATGATTGTGTTTTTGGTTTTTCAGGTGCAAAACTAATATAAGACAATGTCCATTATTAATTGCAGGGGATGAAGCAACTTTGGTCCAGCTAGCTTAATTTAGGTTAAGACTAGTCTTTATGTATTTTGGATTCAGAATGTTTAATGTTTGGTATGTTGGATTTGGAATTGTTTTTGGTATGTTGGATTCGGAATTGTGTTCGGTATGATGCGGAAGTGTTTTAAGTATGTTGGAATGTTTTTGAGATGTTATAAATGGTTTCATTTTAAATTTACAGGTTATATATATATATTACATATGATAGCATGTTATATTTTTAAAGATGGCACTATGAAAACATAAATTAACGCAACAAATATTTGCTATTGTATAGTGATCTATCATAGCACCCAATTTGAATTATCAAAAAAAATTGAAAAAATTCATAAATTGCTATGAACAACTAAATAATGGCATTAAATTATTGCTATGAAAAATTAAATAATAACACTAATAAAGTGCTATTGTATATGAACATACTATAGCAGACAAAATTAATGCTATCGTAGGTGGGGCATCTACCATAGCTGCCGAGATCATAGCAGTTGTTATTTCGCTATGTATTACCTATGATAGCATTTTTTCCGCGCTAAGAATGTTAATTTTTCTTGTAGTGCCACACATGAGCCATCTATTATAATAAGTCTGTCGTGATAAGAATATGTCTGTCATTACCTTATTGTGCAGATTAAAATTTTATTTTCATCAATAAAACTGCCATCATACTACAAAATTTTTTATAGCCTATCTGAAATCTGTCGTAATATAAAAAAAATCTGTCATAACATAAAATATTTCGGTTGTGAGTATATGTCATTCTAGCAATTTATATTTTTATATAACAAATCTGCTATCACACTCCAGTTTTTTGTTAAGAAATAAAAAACTGTCATAACATAAAATAAATCTGTTATCACTAATAAGTCAAACTAGTAATTATATTTTTATTAACAGATCTTCTACATTATGACAGATTTTTATTAACATAAAACTAGATATAAGTCTGACGCCACTAAAACAATAAATCTGCCACACATTTTAATAAATCTGTCAAAATTACGAAAGGCTGTGGTGTCATCAAAAAATAAGTCTGTCGTGAGAAAAAAATCTGCTAGAAATTAAATATCTGTCGTAACCTATTTTAAGTAAGTCTGTAGGAAAAAAAAAATCTGTCGCAAAACATCTGTCATAGAAAAATAAGTCTGTCATGAAAAATAAACCTGTCACAACTAACCCAGCAGATTTTTCAAATAATTTTTTTTGGGGTATTACAGTTGTTTTGGGGTATTTAAGGTATTCTGATATAAAAATAATTGACTCTTATTTATTTATAATTATATTTTGGGTTCGGTTAAAATTACTTAATGTATCTAAAACTATTCAATATTATCCGAATTATTCGAAAACCTTGGTATTAGAAAAACTCAAACTGTTAAAAGTATCTGAATTAACCTAAAGTATCGGTAATAGAACTACCCAAACTATTTAAAATACCTAAAATTTAAAATTAAATACTACAAAAATATGTTAATCTGGTTAATGGGTTTGTTAGGTTCGAGTGTTTTTGGGTATTTGTTCGGTTCGGCTCAAGTTTTTTTGGGTACCCGAAATTTAGGCTTCTAAAACCCATTCGGATATTTTTAAGTTTTGATTCGAGTTTGGATCGGATATTTCGGATCCGGATGCCTAGACCTAGCATGAGTGAATGATTAGATAATTAAAAATTAACTTTATCAAAACATATATTAAAAAAAAAAACCAAAAAAACCAAAAAAAAAAACCGCGGCGTAGCGCGGGTAATCACCTAGTCACTTCAAAAAAAAGAGTCAGTTGCATCAATTAACTTATGTTAATAAATTAAATAATACTAATTTGAATCATTTATTTATAATCGATACGAAAATTATAATTTAACATTAGTTGCAATAATTGATGCCATGTGGCATCGTTTCATCAAAACTGATATAAATCTAGATCTATTTGCATCACTTTCATAATATTGATACAAACATATGAATTTGCATCATTTAGAAAATGATACAAAATTTCAATCAATAATAACCGATGCAAATTAAAGATTAATCATCAGTTGTAAAAAGCGATGTAATTGGTTACTTAATTTTTCAAAGTCCCACATTGCTCCCACTGAAAAAAGAGGCTTCATAGTTTTCTTTTTTTTTTCTTTTTTTTTTTTCTTTTTTTTTCTTCATAGTTTTCTTATATATAGTGACCTTGGTTTTCTTCATAGTTTTCTTATATATAGTGACCTTGGTTTTTATGGTGTCAACAAAGTATAAAGCTTAATAAGAAACTATTATCCTCAAATAAATATAATCGTTTGCTTCTATATTAATTAATAAAATTAAATAAACTTGTTTATCAAAAAATTATTTAATATAATTTTACAAATTTTAGCCTCAATTATTTATAATTGATAAAAATACTTAACATCACTTATTATTACCGTAGCAAATATTAACATCATTTTGATAAATTGATGCAAATACTAATATCATTTATATTAATTGATGGAAAATTAACATCATATTTTGCAACTGATGCATATTAACATTGATTACAATAATCGGTACAAATAATTATTAGAACCGATGCAAATAATTTGCATCACCAATTCCAGAGTCACTTATATAAGTGATGTAAAACTCATTTGCATCAATTATAAGTGATTCAAATATACAAAATAAGCGATGCAAAATACCTTTTTGGTTGTAGTGAGTTGTTTTAAAAGTATAAATTCTTTTCAAAAAGAGTGGTTTGCAAGAATAACACTTTTTCAACATAAAAAGTTAAGAATATAGCACTTTATATGTATCAATTAATTAACTAACCTACGTAGATGAAATGGTCAAAGGTGGTGGCGGTGGTTCCTGCGAGGACACTGGCTTTGGCGACGGCGGTGCCTCCAGCTTCGGCGAGGACGGTGGCTTTGGCGAAGGCGGTTCCTCCGACTTCGAAGATGGTGGTGCCTCCGGCTTTGGTGAAGGCTCAGGCGATGGCGATGGCTCCAGCGGCGGTGGCGATGATGACATCGACGGCATGGTAGTGGTGGCGATGGTGGCGATGATGGTGATGGTGGTTGTTATGGTGGTGAGAGTAAAATTGTAATAATACATACTACACATCTAATATAGTGTAATTTTTTTTAGGTTAGTTTTTTAATTTATAAAACAATTTAGGCTATACATGCAAATTTCTCTTTCAAAAATTGTAACATCCCGATTTCAGGAATATGGTGGTGCATGCGGAGAGGTTTAAAAGAATTGATTTGGCCACCTATATCACCAAAGTGCACTTATCTTTTCGGTCAACCGTCCTGAGAGAACTCCACAGTTAAGCGTGCTTGGGCTGGAGTAGTTTCAGGATGGGTGACCTTCGGGGAAGTGATTGTCGCACTACAAGAAAACATTTCATTTGCGACTGTGAAAATGGTCGCTAAACGGTCGCAAAAGAGGGTTTTGCAACTGAATAACGACTATTTCCATTAGTCGCAAAAAAAACGGTCGCAAAATTTCCTTGTCTCATTATAGTCGCTAATTTGCGACTACTTGGCGACTATAAATATATCGTCGCAGATTAACGACTAATCTGTGACAGGTGAATATCGTTGCAAATTTGCGACTATTTTAGGACTCATTTATTATGGTGACAATATAGTCCTTTATTAGTAACCATTTTGATACGAGATTTGGAGTTATTTGTAAATTTGTTTAGTCACAGTTTGGTCACATTTGTTAATTGTTCTGGTCACAAACTAGTCAGAATTTCTGAAACTTTTTGGTCACAGAATGGTTACATCTTATTAGTCCGAAACCTGTCCATTTCAAAAGCAAATGCATTCAAAAACCATTCAAATATCAATCAAGTACCATTCCAAACCATTCAAAAACTATCCTAATCAAAGCATAACATATCCTAATAAGTTCACATACACAGACAAAAGGAAACTAAAATCAAGTTGAATGATTTGAGGCGGTGTTAGATAGAGGAGAGGTTGGTGTGGTTCCAGTGGTGTGTCATGCTGGTTGGACTGCAGCTCACCATATTCTTCATCCGGCGTTGACAGATTTCCTCGAACCACCATTGAACTGTCCCTGTTATCAAGGGATCCCAGGTGTGGATTTTCTACAACACAAAGACATGAAGACCAGAGTTTGTGAAACAACAAAAATAATCTTTAGATGTGAAGGATATAGAACAGAATAATGTACCGCGAACTCGATAAAGTATCTTTCTTGTCTCTCACGCGGCACACAAGTCCAGCTATAGTAGGGACCATCGAATTTGTTTTTAAAATTTTTAGTAATCTTCCTAACCAGTCTTGATTTAACATCACGAGTAAACCTGCACCACTTGTACACAAGTAGAAAAGTTAATAGTATCAAATACTCAAAAACAAAGTAAACCAGAAGTACCTAAGACATTAAGCAAAGTGTCTACACTCAGACTTGGTAAAAACTTCTTTGAACATTCTCAAATGCATGAAATGTGTCATTGAACTAAGACAACATTGAAAAGCAAACCAGAAGCAACAAAAAAAGCTGGCCAATAATCACACACTCTAACATTGAAAAGCATACCAGAAGCAACCAAAAAAAAAGCAAACCAGAAACAATTTATTACATACTTTCAATGTTAGAGTGTACTGATTAGCTACTGATCATGTCACAAGCAAAGCCATATATTAAAACATTAAACTAAGACAATAGAGAAAGAAGTGATACGTTTAGACATCAACCTATACTACAATCAGACATCAACCAATACTACAATCAAACATCAACCTATACTACAATCAGACATCAACCAATACTACAATCAAACATCAACCTATACTACAATCAGACATCAACCTATACTCAGACACTCTAACTATGAAAAGGAACACAATTGATACGTTTATCAATAGAGAAAGAATTCAGACCAAGTGGTGTTTTCTCTCGGTGTTGGAGAGAGGACCGTGGTAAACTGATCCCGGTCTGGCACCTGAAGCAGAGCTCCGGCAACATTGGAGAAAACTCCATGAAGTTATTTCCTTGAGAAGAATAAGGCTGACTATGACCCACACTCGGACCATCAGAGTTCAGATGTGAATGTGGAGACGGTGGAGCCTCATCTTCTGGCTGCGGTGGAGACTCTGAGACTGAGAGTTCACGAACAGCTGTTGTGGGGGTGGATAGTCCCAGACATGTACTGCAGAGGTTGAATGTTGGGGAACCCCAAATCTCGAAACTATTGATTAAATGATTTCAGTGACAAGTAGCAATAATTAGGATTCAACCCTAATTTCATGAAGTAATAAAGATTCTCAAGTATACCTTTTCTATGACGCATCGTAGATCTGGCCTTTAATCGCCAAAAGAAGTTGCTTTTTAGAATCGGCGGCGGTGATTTTTGGGATAGACGAAAAAACCAGAGACGACATGATAAACGGTGAAAAACGCAGCTGCAGATTGAACTATCGAGAAGAGAGGAAGAGAGAAGAGAAAAGGAAGAAGAGAGTGACGGAGGAGACAAGAGACTAGCTACGCTGGTGGTACTTTTAACGGCGGGAAGCAATGGAAGACGGAGGAGACGAGGCCAGTCAACGGAAGAAGACGTAAGAGGCTAGGCGGTGGTGGGGATTGGTGGATCCTATAGAATGAGAGAATTTAGTTTTTTTTTTTGGTGAGAATGAGAGAATTTAGTTAGTGAAGAAGAGAAGAGTGAAAGACATAAAAAAATATTAGAAACCAAGTATTATAACCTAGGTCGTAACTTTTTTTTTTTTTTTTGTTAAGTGTTGAGCGGCAAATCTAAAACTTTTGCTAAATATTGGCGGTCCAAAGTGATTTTATCTTCTCGAAACCGCCCAAACACTTAGCCAAAATCATAGAAATTTCACAAACCGTAGCTAAATGGTCGCTATATTAGTCGGTAAATAGTCAGAAGATACGTCCCAAAACAGTCGCTAAATGGACAGGGTCCCAAACTAGTCACAAGACAAAATTTAGAAATCTTCACATTGTGATCAAAAATGGTGATATATATCACCCACAAACACTCATATTAGTGGTATAGAGGATATAAAAGTGTTTTAGGTAAAACATTTTTGCCAAACTCAAGTAATATAGATATTTTACTAAATCCCTAAACATTACTCATATGAGTAATGTAAAAGTATAAATAGATTTGGTACTTGTGAATGTTTTGTTAGTAAACAACAAAATTTATGACCTTGGTTGAGTTCTTATTACTAAGTTCGACCAAACACAGCAAAAATCTTAGAAATTTCACAATTAGTACCAAAATAGTCGCAACATTGGTCGGCAAATAGTTGCAATATATGTCGCAAAATAGTCGTTAAATGAACAATGGTTACAAAATAGTGGCACTTTTGCGACTGTTTTGTGACTGTTATCTATTAGTCACAAGACAAAATTTAGAAATCTACACATTGTGATCCAAAAGGGTGATATATATCACTCACAAACACTCATATTAGTGTTATAGAGGACATATATTAGTTTAAGGTTGAAAAACTTTGCAAAACTCAAGTAATATAGATATTTTACTAAATACCTAAACATTACTCATAAGAGTAATGTAACAAGACAAAGAGATTTGGTAGTTTTGAATGTTTTGTTTGTAAACATCAATATATATGACTTTGGTTAAGTTTTTATTACTAAGTAACATCAAATTAGTGTAGAAATGTTTAACTTAATATGTAAACAAATTTAAAATGTAAAATTTGTAAAAACAAAAATCGATAGTTGGTAAATAGTCGCAAAACAGTCGCTTTCTCAGGTGTTAGTCGCAAAATCTTCAGGTGCTAGTCGCAAACCGGTCGCTTTCTCTGCATTTCAACGTGTTTTGAGCCAACTCTTTCCAACTAATTTGCAACTAAAGTGTAACTATAACAGGTGGTTGTTAACTAGTCGCTCTTTTGAGACTCAATTGCGACGATAGTTTCAGACCAAAAACCGAGTCGCACATCGGCCACCCATTTGCGACTAAAAAAATTTAGTCTGTAATCGGTCTTAAACCCGTCGCTAATGAACGACCAATTACAGACTATTTCGTTTAGTCGCGGAATTGCGACTATATTCCATCGGTAAATATTTTGGTCGGTAAATAGTCGTTAAAGAGTCACAGAATAGTCGCACAAATTTGCGACTATTATTTTGGTCGCAAAGGTTAGTTGCTAAACGCAGGTTTTCTTGTAGTACAAAACACAGGGAAACGCAGGTTCCGACGTCGGAACTGTGTGAGTGAGGACAAAACACAGGGAAAGATCATGTGGTGATTTGTAGGATCGGTAAACAAGTCTTTAAAGCCTCCCGGACGTAGCGGACCGGCCGTCGGACAGGTGTGGGCCCATGGGCCCGAGAGAGGACGTGGGGCCCACTGGTAGGGACTGGTCGGGGCGTTACAAGTGGTATCAGAGCCGAACCCAGACGAGTGTGGAGTCAAGAGGGCTCACACCGTAGGGGGTGACGGTCTTGGTGCGCAACGAGGACGTTGCGATCTGTTAGTTGGGGTGAATTGTAACACCCCGATTTCAGGAATATGGTGGTGCATGCGGAGAGGTTTAAAAGAATTGATTTGGCCACCTATATCACCAAAGTGCACTTATCTTTTCGGTCAACCGCCCTGAGAGAACTCCACAGTTAAGCGTGTTTAGGCTGGAGTAGTTTCAGGATGGGTGACCTTCTGGGAAGTGATTGTCGGAACTGTGTGAGTGAGGACAAAACACAAAGAAAGATCATGTGGTGATTTGTAGGGTCGGTAAACAAGTCTTTAAAGCCTCCCGGACGTAGCGGACCGGCCGTCGGACAGGGATGGGCCCATGGGCCCGAGAGAGGACGTGGGGACCACTGGTAGGGACTGGTCGGGGCGTTACAAAAATAATAGTGGAGGTTTTTTTTTTCTTTTAGGTTATACATACAAAAAGCGACAAAAAAAATTGTAAGAATAGGTTGCTTGAAACCCAAAAATGTGGAAAGACATATAAATGGCGACGTTGCGGACACATATTATTAAAGTATATATGGGCTTCCAACTCAAACCAATTGGCAATGAGTGAATTGACACAGATCTCTTATATACTGTCATGATCTTTGTCCAACTTCCGATGTGGGATATTGTTATCCCTAATACATCTCATCGACTTGCTCCCAAAAATAATAACGACTTGAAATTTTTTAACTGAAACCTAAAAACGAACGAACAAGTTTAACAGATGGTACAATTATTTCGATTTCAGACAAATTATAACTCAAACAGATCTTAGTGAGATCAAAGACAAAAGAAATATTAATACAATAAACCAGGTCATTTGTGAGTGATTGATTACTGAGTAGTATTAGTTCAAGAAAATATTTGATATTTGATTGATAATATACTGATTTCAGTTTCATTTTATGTGTTGATTAATGCAAACACAAATTAACTGGAAGATAAGGAGTGATCCATCGGATAACAACTATAGAATGGAAGATTCAAAAAGGTGTTGCTCTCTGTTCTTTTTTTTGTTGAGTTTATTCACTGTTTTAGATTTTCGAATGGGTCCAAAAATCCCCTAATCAAATTACCTTGAACCGAATAGAACCGACTTAAACCCGAACTCGAACGGGTATCCGAATATCCAAACCTACTAATAACAATCAGTATACTGTACTATTAATTCAATTACTCTAAAAATAATTAGCAAGCATACAAACTAATACCAACGAAAAATTATAATATAATTAACCAATACAATAATTAATAAATAAAATTAAAAATATATCCCCCCGGCTCTCACTAAAAAGTAAAAATACATACATTATAATCCATACTATTAAGATTTAAAATACATTTTAAAACTCAAACAATATACTCAAAAAATACAATAAAATCATCATTTGATAGATTCATATATTCTAACGAATAACAATTTAAGAAACATAGGATCCGGGTGGAGCACGGGTTATCAATCTAGTTATGAGTGAAAAGAGGTCAGATCTTAATATCGAAGAAGAGCTGAAACATCAAATTTGGTGGCTGCAATGTAAAATCATAGTTTTTTCTGTATTATGTTGATGAAAGCTAAGTCCAAAAATCTGATGGTTCCTCCTGGAATTGTTGTTATCTGCAGGTTAGTTTCAATTAAAATACACTAAATTCAGATGAATGCCCAAAAATACACAAATTCAGATGTTTTAATTAGTGTATATTCTATTTTTTTTATTAAATTCAATAATGATCTAAAAGATTATTAAATCGAAGTTACCGTTTAATCTAAATTTCATTAATCCATTTACATACGAAACCCTATCGAGTATATATAACAATGTCGAATTTCAGCTAACAATTCATAACTAGTACTGAAATTATAATGTCGAATCGAATCATAGATGATTTTCCATTCATTTCATATTTAAATATCATAATGTGCTTATGTCAAAAAAAAAAAAAAAAAGGTATACACGTCTATATGATATAGTGCATTTTAGAACGTCTGAGTTAAAAACAACTAATCTGATAAATCTTTAAGAAACAACATAACTGATAGTTTTATAGATGAGATAAGATTTTTCATTGCCATGTAGCAAAGACAAGAGAATTGGCAACACCAGATTGCTCCAAGGTTAAGTTAGATTCATACTCCAATGTAGTTGTCTTAAATTGACCTGGAATCACTCGTGTTAGCTTCAATGGCTTCTTCCTCTCTGATTTCTTAAGACGAGAGTAGCAGAAAGACCAGAGAAGCTACAATAGAGATAGTAACATGATATCAAAACCCAAAAAAAAAAAAAAAAAAAAAAAACCAAAGACACAAAACGTTGTTTCTTAGGATTTGCATACCTTGATTGTATCCGTTTTGAGGAAATACCTCATGATTCTTTCTCCGTTGGGTAAATCGATTCCAACTCCGCAATTCGCGCTGAAATTGCCTCTATTTGGTTCTTCTGGAAGAGGTGGCAATGTTGGCAGCAGCAATACTTCTTCAGTCGATAACAATGATTGGTCATCTGAAGTCTCTTCCATGTTGTAATCATCAAAGAAAGCAGCTAATGATCGTATTGGCTGTTTCTTTGCGAGAGAAGAAAAGTGTTCAGGAGGACCATGGTCCATGAACGGATATAAGAACACTAGCAAAGCCTCGGGTTGTGCCATTCCACACCACTTGGGTGTGACCATTCCAGACCACTCGGGTGTGACCATTCCAAACCACTTTTTCATAGCTTGACCAGTGGTTGGATTGATAACAAGCACCAAGGTAATGGAATCAAGCTTGTAGTATGTGCAAACCTTTCTTCCTTCTGCTGAATCAACATCGACCTAATACCAGAATAGGCTGGATTCTAAACCAATTCTGTAAAGAGCTTTTCAGTTGAAGTAAACGAAAGCGGAAGTTCTATATCAAACCTGCCAGAAGATGAAGTGGTTTTTGATAGTCTTAGAAACAGTCTCATCCGCCCAAGTATCTCGATTTAACTATGAGAACGAAACACAAAAGAAAAAAGAAAAAAAAATCAGTTTAACCGATCCAAAACTTAACCAAAAGACTAACAAAAAGATCAAATAAACCTAGTCAGTTTTCGTTATTTCTATATCGAAAGAAACAAACGAAAACCGCACAAAACAAAAAGGGAAGCGATTAAAACAAGATAGGAGATCTCTAGATGTGACTATGGTCAAGCTTGCCTCAAGGAAGTGTTAGAGAGTAACCAAATGAGAAGTGAATTCCGTGGTAGATTGGAGGTTGACGAGAAGCCATTTATTCTGAGAAGCCGAAGTAGCTTTTGCTTGTTCAAAAGAGCCATGAAACATCAGATGAAAAGGAGGACGGTACAATGAGGCCAAGCTGCGCTTAGGAGCGGATGTTGAGGGTGAGAAATCACCCTCATCTGGTCCCCAAATTCCCTCCGTCATAGCCCTTATGAAAAATGCAAGTGAATTATACTGTTATAATTCTGATCAGGAGTTAAAAAATAATCATACCCGAAAGATTGCGGAGGCACGTCATCATTGGACGACATTGGCGGAATATCTTCCTCAATTGTCAACTCTGGTATCTGAGGGTAACAAAGCTGCATAGCGTCCTCAAGGTTCCAGTATGTTTCCTCGTTATAGAATGAACTCTTCTGAAAAAGAGATAAACCCAAAACTCTCTTTATTAACAACAATTACGTAACAAGAAAAAAATTCTAGACAAAAATTACAAAACAGCTAACAATGAGTTACCAAAGAAGTCAGAAGAAGAAAGAATTTAAAAACCCTAAGTTAATCTCATCACATAAGTCAACAGCCCATATTGACAACAAATTGTTTCTAAGTTGAAATAACACCGCTTTAGAACCAAAAAGCCACTAAATCAGAAACTAGATCAATATTAAGATCACTCACACCAATCCATCAGCACCCTAGAACATACATATCGATCAGTTTCGAGCACGTACCTTTAAGATATGTCGGGCAGTTTCAGAGTTCTTTCCGTCGGCGATTAATTCAAAGAAAGCATCGAGGAATCTCTTTTCGTCCTCGGAACGCAACTTGTTCTCCATTGCTTAGACGAGAAACCCCTCAAACAAGGGCGGATGTAGGTTATTATTGACTGGTAGGACACGTGATCTAAACTATCTATATATATACATTTTTGGAGAAGATTTTGGACCAAAAATCCTTTTATAATTTTGTAATTGTACATTTAGTCCCTACAAAAAAAATCTGACAAAAATATTGTCTTAAACAAATTTTACAAAACAATAAATTAACTCTCACAATTTCCTAATATTGTGATAATAAGATTTGATATTCAAAGATATGGAAATCAAATATTCAATTTTAAATGCTATTAAAAATAATATCGAGAATATCTAGCAAATGAAAACTATTAAAACAATAAAATCGTGATCAAATCTAAATTAGCATTAATACTTCTTCCCATTATATTTGCTTTAAATGTTATAACCAATTTATTCTCAAAACTTTACAAAAAAATCGTGGTATTGAAATATTATCTATACATTCTCAATTTTGTTATAAAAATCTAACTAATTACTACTAAATATTGTTGTTTCCTTATCTACTAAGTATAATTTTCCTTAACTAATTACTACTAAATAAATCACGGATTTCACTACTATTTATGGAGAAATGTCATTGACATTAATTTTTAGATTTTTTTTTCTATTTAAGTAAAGATTTGGAAATAAATTTCGGTACTCAAATATTTGCCTAAAATATCGACGCAATCTTTAGATTTATTCGTTCTCTACTTATGATAGCTACAATCCCGAATTTAAAGAAAAATGGAAAGTAATTACAATAATCCATCTAACAAATGGCATATTCCTTGTATCTTCTTTCGTTTACAATTATACTTTGTACCATATTTAAAGAATATGCCTGATATAATATATAGTTAGCATTAATTTCAAATTTTAATATTTTCGAGATTTTGAACTTGATCACCAAGATTTTCTCGCTTCACAATCAAACCTAACCATAAACATCCACATTCTCCTATAAATAAGATTTTCTGGCTTGATTTATCGTGAATCACCTTCTCAATCTTTGTCTTCCTTTTCATTATTTGATTGTGATTTTTTTATTTGATATCTTATGATTTTAACGGTTTTTGAGCCTTGTTTTACCTTCAAATCCTTGCATTTTCATGTCATTTAGGTTGTTTAGATTGCATTTGCATCAAGTTCTTTGTCTTTAGGTGTTTGGAGTAGAGACATGAAGAATAGAGCTAAAAGAGGAGTTTTGGACCATAAGAACCCAAGAATTGGTCAAGAGAGAAGAAGAAGAAAAGACCAAAGGAAGAAAATAGCCATAGCGACCAATTGTAGCAGGGTATCTTGCTTGCTACGGATTCCCCTGAAGATGAACACGTTTCCAGAGTTTATATCAGGCAACCATATGGACGTCTGCTCCTTGCTACGGATTCCCCTGAAGATCAACATGTTTCCAGAGTTTATATCAGGCAACCATATGGACGTCTACTCCTTGCTACGATTCATTTAAGCAGTCAAAACCCGGTTTGTTCCGGGTTGACCCGCTTCATTCATGTTTTCCTATAAATACTCTTAACCTAGTTTTAGATTGTCTTATGCTTTGTTTAGAGATTAAAAACTTCTCTTAAGGTTTCTTTCTAAGTTTTTGTATGAATCTTGGGTTTGTTGAGTTTTGAATCCAAATTTCTCTTTTAATCTTTTATCTACCTTCTCTAATTATGATTTCACAAAGATCAAACCTATTGCTTTGTGTAATCATGATCATGAGTGAGTAGTCATTTAGAGTTCTTGGGTTAAGGTAGATTAGGATGGTTTAGTTGTTGGGTTATGGAGTTTAGGGCTAGATTACTTAAGATCCTTACTTATTGGTTGATTATAAAGCTAGATTAGCTTTGATCATGTTGATTTAGATTTTAGGAATTTCATGCCCGGAAGGTGTTCGATGAAATTCCCGAACCAAAACCTTTAAGTGCTTTACATTCCTTACCTTTGGAAATTGTTGACTAGGGTGTTAAGTGGCTAGATAGACTTGTTTTTAATGCTTGTTAGTCAATTGATTGCCTTTAGAAGAAGTTGATGATTAATTGATTAGTAAATGGACTAATGTCATGGAAATGTGTTAGTGTTGCTTAGTGTTCTATGGCCTAGGGATCATTGCTTATTAGAAGTTGTTTGAAGCTCCATAATCCACTTCTTAATCATTCCTAATCAATTCCCTTTAACCCGAGAATTCGCCTTTAGTTATCGTTTAGTAACTCGTTAATTTTCTGCTTTGTTTACTTTCGAAACTTGTTAGTCTTTTGCATTTTGCTTTCATTTGTTTTGTTTTGCATTGTTTGATTGTTATTTACTTTATTAGTCAAGTTTACAAAACCAAATCATCTTATTAGCCTAGATTAAGCTTTTGCGTGTATTCCTAGTGAGTTGATCAATTGCAAATTGTGGTTCGATATTTAATTGAGTAAAAGTACTACATCATTATTCAATCATATAAATTTTGCTCCCTGAATGTTATATGATTGTAAGAGTTTACTCCAGTTCGTGGAAGCTACGATGTCATATTGGTTCAATTGTGGATTGGACATCTTTACTTCTAATTATCTCTATTCCTTGCAATGACAAAATCTAATCATTTGTTTTTCTTTTGCTTTGCAGACTTTTACCAACCACTTGAGGAAGATGAACTTAAACACTTACGATCGACATTATGCTTTCCTCTAAATTCCCCGTAAATTTTTTGGCATGCAATGAAATTTATCTTGGAGTGGCAGGTCTATATGAATTTTTTTTATAAGGGCACACTGTTTTCTGTATTTTCCTTATAACCAAACTTTAATTGTTCTGTTTGCAGGCCCGGCCCTGAGGTAAAGCCCGTGAAGCAAGGGCTTTAGGCATCAAATTAGTATAAATAAAAATAGGGGCATCATTTTAGTTAAAACTGTCGTGGTAGAGTGGTTAAGTCCTTGTTTTCTTCTTATAGTGTTAAGGGTTCGAGTCTTAAACCTTCCACTTTTTTGTAGTTTTTTTTTGAGAAATTTGCTAAAATAACCAACAAAAATTTAATAATTAAGAAACTAACCAAAGAAAAAAAGCACAACAATATTCTCTGTATAAATTACAATATATACAATTTTACCCTCATGCCACATCATCATCTTTTCTTCAGTGTTTTCTCTCTTTTCTCTTCGTCACTTATTCTAAAATCTGGAAAAAAAAACTACAAATTCCCGTCTTCCTCCTCCTTCTCTTTATGACCTCTGCAACTTTACTCACCATTATATTCTTAACTATTTCAGAGAATCAACCGTTACTCTCAACGACGACGCTCAACATTTACCTTCAACGGTGATGCCTTCAATCCTTAACGTCACAACATGGGTTCGCCGCAACGTAGATCAAAAATTCTTAAAGCAATTTGATTTATTAAGCTTGTGAAATTGTAAATATGCATCTGATTGATGGGTATTAAGCCGAGAGATTAAATCAAATAATTTTAACTAATTGAGTTTACAAAAATTTCACATGTGGATCTAATTTTTCTAATTCACCAAAAATTCCAAAAGAAAGTTGGATTCCACAAATAGAATAGAATAGAATAGAAACAAGATTTGACCAAATTAATATAACTGGGATTGATGGGAGAATAGTAAATGTGGAAGTCGAAACTAACACAATCGAGATTTGTCTAGGGTTTTATTTTAAGGATACGATTCGCGAGAATTCTCAAAGAACAACAGAATCAATCGATACCAAAGATGGTGTTCTTGATATTATTAAGAAAAAGATGATTTTGATCGTACAAGAGTTTGATCGTAAAAAGGAAAAGTGTTTATGCTTCAGAGCTTTGTGTAGTCTAAAATCTAGAGCGATATTGCTTGCCCTTCTGCGAGAGCCTTGAGTTGCTTTATATAAGAGTGGTAAACCGCCTCTCCAGCGATATTCTCGGAAGATTTCCATTTATCTTGAAGTCGGCTAAGAATATCGCGGATTAGGATACTTTCCTTATTCTTCGGAGCTTTTCGGAAGTTTTCCTGATTTGAGTCGATCCTTCGAGATTCTCCTTTATCATTTCCGAGTATTTCGGAAATGATCCTTCTTTTCCGGAAATGATGCTTTGAAGGTGAATATTTTCTAAGTCTTTGCCTCGGATGACTAATGACTTTGCCTCGGATAGTTTGGAGGCTGCCTTGCGAGGACGTGCTCGGGTACCCGCAGAGGACGTGCTCGGGTACCCGCAGAGGACGTGCTCGGGTACCCGGAAAAGCGGGCTCGGGTATCCGGAGAAGAATGGGCTCGGGTACCCCGAGCTGTCTGGCAGGGTACCCGAGCTGTCTGGCAGGGTACCCGAGCTGTCTGGCAGGGTACTCGAGCTGTTTGGCATGGTACCCGAGCTGTCTGACAGGGTACCCGAGCTGTCTGACAGGGTACCCGAGCTGTTTGGCATGGTACCCCGAGCTGTCTGACAGGGTACCCGAGCTGTCTGAAAGGGTACCCCGAGCTGGTTAATTCGGGATGTTGAAGTTTGGCTCGGTCTCAGAAGATGGATGAAATCCGACCCCAACAGTAAACATAGAAGAGAAGGGTATAAGAGAAGATACGATATGTCTTTAACTATTTGTTTGGTATGTACTATTGGTAATTATTGGTAATTACTAAGGTTGAATGTACTACTTTCTATGAGTTTGGTATGTACTTTTTGTTTTGAACTCTGATTTGTGTTCATAATCGATTTAAACTTTAACTTGGTCTATTGGATTCTATGTAGTAGTCTTTAGGGTATAACATTTTGTTTTCGTCGTGCATTTAACTTGGCAATTTAGATTTTCTATTTCTAAAGATATCATTCATTTTTCGACGTGGGTTTAACTTGACAATTTAGATTTTGTATTTTATTTTATATCATTGATAAGTTTTTCATAGAAAAAATGTTTTGTTCTATACCATTTCATTTTACTAATACTATTTCATATATGTTTTTCATAGGATACTTTCCTTATTCTTCGGAGCTTTTCGAAAGTTTTCCTGATTTGAGTCGATCCTTCGAAATTCTCCTTTATCATTTCCGAGTATTTCGGAAATGATCCTTCTTTTCC